ATTTTGTGTCTTATATTTGCTAAATGATACTTGATGATGACTTACATTAAATGAATATTTTTAAATAATTAAATCAATCATTTTATTAGAGAATAAATATTATGTTTTGTGATTATTGATATATATATATAAAATATATATATATATATATATATATAAAACTTTAACTTTTGAACTTTTGAAACAGAACTATTAAATTATACATTTATACACGTAAATAAGAAATAAATATGATATTAAAATTCAATTTGGAGAGAACATAACCACAAAAGACAGTATGTTTTAACAAGAACAGCAAGAGTGAATTGATTAGTTCGATGATAGATAAGGTAACACTATCATCATGAACTGCGAGACGATGAGGTCGCCTAAGTGATTAGATAAACGGTAGACAAAGGCAAATAGCTTACGAGATTGTGAGCCTCCTCCTTCTCGCAGTCAGCCATTTTCTCTATCGGGTGATACTTCCAGTTGTTTCTTAGTTACAAATTACAATGTTCTAAGTGCATATGTGCCTAATCTTTAAGTTTTTTTCATTAATTTCTATTTTTTTCTTTATGTATCTCATTTGTCACTCATTCCGCAATCAAAGATTATCGTCACATTAAAGACGAAGATAAATCTGATCATCTACTCCGATGAAATTTTACAATCTGAAATAGATAAATCGTTATCATTGTAAGATATTTTTTCATTCTAGAATTAGTAATTAAAAAAATTGACTTATTGATAAATAAATATCAACGAATATAAATAAAACACCTGTATCACTTTACATAAGAAGTATTTTCTTATATAACTTCTTATGATCAAGTTTATAATATATTTATAATGATTTTTAAATATGTAAATAGTATCAAAATCAATTATATTATTTTATATACTTAATATAATTAATATATTATAAATATATAATTACATATATATATTTATCATATTTCTATATATTTATGTATTTATATAGTATAAAAATTTTATTATATTAAAAGAATATTTTNTATAAATTTAATTTTCTACAAAGAATCATGAGTCTTAAATTATATTATGATTTATTATCACAACCAAGTAGAACTCTTTATATATTTTTAAAAATTTGTGATATACCATTTGAAGCAAAATTAATAAATTTAGCAAAAGGTGAACAATTTATATCAAAATATCAAAATATTCATCCTTTTCAAAAAGTACCAGCTATTGAACACAATGGTTTTAATATGATAGAAAGGTATAATTATTTTATATATATTATATATATAATATGTTTTATAATATGTATTATAATTAATAACAATTAATAACAAAATATAATACAAATTATTATAAATAAATAAATTTAAATCTTAGTTAAATATAAATTATAATTCATAATTATATATTTGTATATATTTATACAAATATAATGGCTTATTTTATTTTTCATTAAGATTATTATTATTATTATTATATTTAAAAAAATGTAAATTATTGTTATTTTGTTTAATATTAATTTATGTATTAAATGTTTAATATTTTGAAAAGTATGAAAATAAATTAAACTTAAAATTATAAATTAATATTT